TGTTGTGGGGGTGGGGGTGGGGGTGGGATTGGGGGTATAAAATGGGAGGGTGGGCCAAATGTAGGCTGGACAGAATGGCTAAGTTAATAAACGGGTCAATGACCCAACCATCCCAAAGTTTGCTTGGGGTAACATGGGCTAAACAATGGTTATAGCCCAATCCAGCTAACCTAAAACATCTTTTCAATTATTTTTTTTCTTCAATGATCTCGTCGTCCATTTCCCCCCTCTTTCCTATTCAAGAGTTCTCCCCCATAACGGCATATAATCTCTCTAGATAGCCAATGTGAACAATTCAATCAACTTGTGTATGAACTATGAAGTGTATTGAAAGTCTTGTAAGTTGTAACTGTACGAGGAAAAAAAATTCAAGTAGTGTAACAAATTGTTAGATATTATTGGCTTGATTGGGTTTAGGTGAGTGCCTTAAAGCGAAATACATGCAGAAATCTTATATATAGTTGTACTTTCAAACAGTGTTATGAAAGGCGCTTGCCTTTCGCCTTTGGCGACAAGGCGAGGCGAGGCGATGGGTCATCATCGCCTTTTTCCGGCGAGGCAAGGCGACTTCAGAAAGGCGTGCCATGGCGACGGAAAGGCGTAAGATGACGTGGTGTGGCGATGCAATAGGCGTTGCCTTTTTATTTTTTATTTTTTTAAGGTCTGACTTAATAAATAAAAGCCAAAATTAGGGTTTTTTTGGGTATTTTTGCAAACTTGACCTTCGCAAGACGCTCCTCCTCTTCTCCTCCTATTTCGCGATTGTTGCTCCTTCGTGGAGACTTCTTCTTCGCGAATCGCAATCGCGACTGCTGCTCTTTCTCAGGTACGAAATTTTATCTCTAGTTCTTCTCTTCTTCTCTTCTAGTTCTTCTTCTTCTCTACTCTCTAGTCTCTATTCTGTTGTTTTTTTTTGGTGGAACTATTCTATTTTATTTTTTGGGTGGAACTACTCTGTTTTTCAGTATTTAGAGTTTGAGACTATGCTTGGTTCTGTACTTCTGTGGTATCACTGGCCTGGAATCTGCCTATATTTAAAAAAAAAAAAACTTAATCCTTCTATAATTATTTCTTTCCTACTTAATTTAGTTTTATACTAATTAATATGGTATTTATTTGTCCATAAATAGTGAATTCAATGACGTCAGATGCTAACAAAAAGAGGGACATTGCTAATGAATGTTATTGTTATTGAGATTTTGGATATTTATATATGCAATTAAATATTTTACATTTTTTGTATTAATTGGTGCCTCAATTCAAATAGGCGAGCGCCTCACCGCTCGCCTCGCCGCGTGGCGAGGCGGGCCCTTGTCGCCTTTTGTCGCCTCTCGCCGTCCAAAACACTGCTTTCAAAGAATGATGTAATATATCCAAATAAACGTTGTCATACCAGCAATATTGTGCTTTCAGAAGTTGTCCTTAATTGAGAATGTTCTCAACAGTTTCCAGAGTTGTCCTTTACTGATTCAATTGCTCTAAGACTTACCTAATCATAGTAAATGCAAGGACCATAAAGTTTTCTCGACTCTCGTTAAATTTCTAAGTATTGATATAAGATAATCAAAGCTTAACCTTACAGTTCAGACCAAAGTTATTAATATAAACAAACTAGAATCTTTAAAAAGAAAAC